AGGGGGCGCGGGACTGCCCTCCTGTGCCCCTCCCCGCGACCTCCGCGTGGCTGGAGCCCTTGACCTTCCCCGCGCGCCCCTCGCCCGCTGCTTTCCAGCAGCAGCAGTCGGCCCCCATGCAGGGAGGGCCAAGTCGCCTGCAGCGGGGTTGAGTCCTGCGAGACGTTTTCTCGTCCCCAGTCAGTTTATGAGGCGTCTTGTAGTTGAGGAAGCCTCTGACCCTTCTTGTACTACCTAAAGTTACACATCTGTCAGAAGTGATGACACAGCTGAAATGACTGCTTGTTTCGTGAGCCCTGAATGATCTTACGCTTGGGGCTAGACCTAAGGCCATTGATTACTAGGACTGCTTAGTTCTTGGGGTATCAATCTTGGCTGGTTTCTGCAAGAAAAAAGGGTGAAAGTTCATAAAAATCGAGAGCTGTCTTTCAGCAACATTGATGCTTATGCTTATAATTTTAGGAATTCTTTTTAGAAAGGCAGAGTGCTAATTTGTTTTTGTTTTTGTTTTTTAACTTGACACATTGGCGGATTTCTACATTCTACAGAGCTGCCGGCTGAAGAAGGTAAGCAATCTGAACATGTCCTTGTTCCCAACATCCATCGTTTGTGTGCTGATGTTAAGATGAGAATTACAATATGTTTGTTTCTAACAGGAAAAACCTTGCTGGAACTTGTGATTGAGCAGTTTGAAGACTTATTAGTTAGAATTTTACTGCTGGCAGCGTGTATATCTTTCGTAAGTATAAAGAGATTTATTTTCTTCCTCCCCTCAAAAAGATGAAATATTTTATAGGCAAACCAGGAAACAGTGATGTCCATTGGATGAAAACACATCTAGAGATTTAAGCAGTGTCTTTAAGTTGAAAAACATACAAATCAGCCTAAGTATTTTAAAATCATAAATAAAAGGCTTGAAGCTGTTCTTATTCAGAGAATATTAATAAATAGGTGCCTGACATTTTCAGTGCCGTTAGAAATTGTTCCTGAATGTGGCAGGCTCTTAAATTCTTATTTTTTTTTATAGCTTTTTAGTATCAAAAGTTTATTTATTTATTTTTTTATTGGGAGGCCTTTTCTGTTCTGGTTTTTCCATTGCTATCATGTTGTAAGATCATACTAAGATGATGAACTCTTTGTAGTCTGTAAATAGAACTTACAAAAGGAATATTCCAGTTGTTTTCCCTTCCTGGTAATGGCAAGGTGACAGTTGTTCCTGACAGTGATAGGAACGATGACGGCAATGATGGCACCACTGTTGACCAAATTTGGTCACTGACCTTTAGGGTGGTATATTTATCTATATTGGACCCCTGTCTTGAGTGATTCGTAGGTTGAAGGACCAATGTTCGGTACACTTGGTTCTATATCTTAAGAAAAAAAAACAGCGTTGTGTTTTTTTTCTTGTTCAATATGTGCTTAGCCTCTCAAGTCCTGTATGGTTGCTAAGAGACTAGTGAAATGCAAAGAACTATAGCAGAAAAAAAAGGCGACGGGGGCGGCAAGGATATTTCTAGGCTATTAACTTTTTTTTCCTGTTCAATATTTTTTATTGTATTTTTTTTTCTTGGGCAGTAGACTTCTCAGTGATGTTCCTAAAAATGGTCATGAATGAGACACAAATGTTCCTAATCCTAACTGCATAACATACCTTTTGTTCTTAAATTATGATATGTTATTCTTACAAAAACCATAAAGGGAAGTGAAGTTCACCTGGTGTCATAATTTTTATACTTTCCTGTGTATGTGAGTCCCAGGGATCTATTTCAGTCTTTACATGAAAACCGTACTATAGAAGGCTATTTTGAGAACTACATAAACAAAAGCAATGGGAATTTATTTAGTGCAGATTATGGAAAATACTGATTTGATATCCATCTTTTAAGTAAGTAACCACAGCAAGAGATGAACTTTTGGAGTAATTCGGTACTTAAATTCTGCCATGAGACTTGAATTTATTATACCACATTAGGCAAGTGGTGTGTAGCCATTAATAATTCAGTCCCCAAGAATCTTTTCTGTGGTTTTCATTGAGTAAAATCGAGACCGTCATAGCAAACCATTCTGCGTATTAAATCACCTTATGTCTCTCACATTTGTCTTTTCCTTGATTATTTTATTATTATTTCTTTAATTGTTTGAGGGTACATGCGCTTGCCAGAGAGCGAGCCTACAATGAGGTTCTTGATTAATTTTTAAAAAGTTCTTTCTCAGTGAGTGGCTGCTGTTTTATCAGTTAAGATAAATGAATAGAATGGAGCTGTTTTAATGCATTACCATGGGACAAATACTTAATAAATTTGGGGGTAGTATAAGATTTATAATATAATCAGCTCTAAGATATCAGTAATTGTAACTTTGGCTGAAGGTCCAATAATTTCACCGGGGACCCTTTAGAATTTATTCAAGTGGACTAGCCGGTGACTTGATTGGTGGTTGAAGCTGCTGGATCCCACATGGCTGACTGCTTGCTTTTGAGTCCCAGACCCCGCAGCTTTTGTGTGCCAGCTCCAAATCGCAAATCCCGAAAGGAGGAAGAAATGGAGAAGGAATTGTGGCATGACTGTTGGGGGTGGGTGCTTTCTGACTTTTTCCTCTCTCTTTCTCCAGTGAGCACATGTGCCTTCTAGCAAATAAATAAAATTTAAAAAATTAAGCAGCTGGTATATATAAGCTAAAGATGAAAGTTCATTTTTACTGAATTCTGTAGGTTATAAATTGAAGCAGGGTTAGGAATAATGCCTTTGATGTTTACAATAAATGAGCCGTTGGGGCTTTAGGTTATAGAGCCTCTTTTTTGAGTGACCAGTTTGAGTGACTTTATACTAGCATTTTGAATCAATGATGTGTGCGATTTTTCCCCCTTGAAGTAGTTAGGAATTTGTAGTTTCTAGGCATATTGAGATGGATTTTAAAATAAGCGCTTTAATTTTGTTGTAAGGTAGGACATTGACTTTTTAGAGCTATACTTGGGAGATAATTTGAATTGCTTTTTGGTAACTAGTTGGACTTACTGTTCTGGAAATTATAAGTTGCAAAAAAGTATGTGTTTGGGAAGTACTCGTTTTTTGATAAAGGAAATCATAGATATAAAACCTGATTTTCTTCATGTGGGGTTGGCACTGCTGCTCCATTGCACTTGATGTTTTCATTCTTCATTTCTTTATCTTCCAAAAGAAAGAGTACTGAATTTTTTTGTGGTCCTCAGTTTATTCCTGTTGGCTTAACAGGAAGAACATAGCAGAATATTCCAGTTCTTTTGGAGAAATGATTATAGGCACTTATATACACAGTGCATTATCAAGTCCGTTCAAGTTAAAAAGGTCGTTAGTGATTTATTTCAAATGTCAAACTAAGTGGTAAACTGTTAACCATTGTTATAATTTCACTGTGGCAAAAAGTAGGGAATTGTATTAATGTTTTACACTTGGCCAAGGCTGTAGGGATAAAGTTTAATTGATTTGTGATATTCACCAAAATGGTTTTCGTTCTTTTTTTTCTTTTTTTTTTTTATTGTAAAGTTACTTGGATTAGAAGAAGTCAGCCCTGGGACCAGCAGTTAGAGTAATGGCTATGTTGCTGGACTCCCATGTGGTCGACCGCGGTTCAAGTCCCGGACCTGTTGACTTAAACTCAATGCTGAGTGCGTGTGCATTTGTGCCCAAGATCCCAAGAGGAGAATGGAGAAGGGATTATGGTGTGGGCATTCCCCTTAGGGGTGATTTCTCGCTTTCTGTGTGTCTGTCTTGCGCACGCACCCTATAGCAAAAAAACTCTCCAAATAATAATAATAATAGAAGTCAGCTCTGCATGTGTCATTAAACATATGAAAGCATTTAGTTTGTCCATGGTGCATCTGAACATTGGAAATAATTTAACCCTCAAGGCCCTCTTGTTACTTTATTTTGTCTTTTCATCCTTTTGGTTACCAGCTTTGCCCAAAATACAACACATCTATAGTTGCTTAACTGAAATGCCTGCCTGCCCTTTCCTCCTCTTTTTTTTTTCTTAAACGTTTTGCTGTAATAAGGGGTGTGTGTGTGTGTGTGTGTGTGTGTGTGTGTGCTCCCTGGAGAGAGACAGGGAAAGGGAGAGATCACCCCCCTGGGGAGGATGACCAAGCCACAATCCCTTCTTCTCCATTCTCCTCCTGGGATTTTGGGCAAGCATGTACATACACTCTTGGCATGATTTTCAAGCCAGCAGGTCTGGGACTCACTCAGTGAAGCCAGCTGTGTGACCTCTGACCCCACTTTTCCTCTTTTTCTTTGCGCTGCCTTGTTAGGGCATTTACTGCGCACCTGTCATAGACCCTGGAGATGCTTTTGCAAACAAATTGGACAAAGACTCTGTCCTGGAGGACAGAACTATTGAGAAAAATAAAAAACCAGGGAGCTTGGAATAGGGAGAGTATAATTTTCAAATAGGGTGGTCAAGAAAGTCATCTGAGACATTCAGGAAAAGATCATAAGGTGCCAAGAATTAGGAGCTGTCTGAATTACAGAATCCTGTCTCGTAACAATTTACGTGAGTTTCTTTACCCTCCATCCCCACTTTTTACCTCAGCTACTTAGATTGGCCCTAAAAATTAATGAAACTTTCTAAATTAGTACTCTTCAACTTTCCAGTCGTCCGACAATTTTTGTATATATCTTTTCTTACTGGGCCCCTTGGAAAGGACCTTTATTTTGATATCACAGAATGTTAGGTTAATTTATTTGGTAGCGTTTTCAAAATGTATGGAGTCTGTTTACTTCGATGTTTCAGAATGATATATTAAGGAAATATTCTATATATAGTGATTTAAAAGTTTTTCCTGCGTTTCAGTTCATCTTACAAATGGAATAGAATGGGTTATTTACTGACTGACTTAAACTCGTTTATTTAGAACTGTCTTTTAAAACATGGTTCAAAGGATTAATTTTTTTGTATGTATTTATGGTGCAATTTAAAGAAAAAAAACAATTACTTCATTCTGGGGCCGGCAGGTGGTGTGGTGGTTAAGGCAGCTGTACTCCCACATGGCTGACTGCAGTTCAATTCCGGAACCTGGCGGCTTGCTTTCTCACCTTCCTTCTCTGTCTCTCTCTGGTCCACGTGGGAAAACTAAAATAAAATAATGACAATGAATAAAATCGAATTAAAAAATATTTGCCCTCTCTACTTCTTTTTTTTAAAAAGAAAGAAAGAAAGAAAGAAAGAAAGAAAGAAAGAAAGAAAGAAGCATGAGAACCAGCAGTTGGTATAATGGCTGTGTCGCTGGACTCCCATGTAGTCAACCGCAGTTCGAGTCCTAGACCTGGTGGCTTAAACTTACGCCATGTGTGTGCATGCCCAAGATCCCAAGAGGAGATTGGAGAAGGGGTTGCTGCATGGCCATCCCCTTTGGGGGGTGATTTCTCACTTTCTGTCTCTCTGTCTCTCTGGCGAGTGCACGTGCCTTATAGCAAAAACCTCTCTGAAGAGGAAAAAAAAAAGCAGTCAAAAAAACAAATGCCATATAGCAAAAACCACTCAAAAAAAAAAAAAAAGAATCTTGTATTATTATTATTTAATTTGACCAGAGAGAAAGGGAAGTGAGAAGGCAAGCTGCCAGGTCCAGGACTAAGACCTCGGTCACTGTGTGGGAGTGGGAGTCCTGCGCCTTAACCATCCTGCCACCTGCCCTCCACCCTTTTCTAATTCTTAAGTTTGAAAACATCGAACAATTTTCCCTGTATCAAGAGATAATGAGTTTGA